TCTGTCTGTCTGTCTATCTATCTCTCTGTCTGTCTGTCTATCGATCTATCTGTCTGTCTGTCTGATTATTGATCTGTCTGTCTATCTGTCTCTCTATCATTATTGATCTATCTATCTCTCTGTCTCTCTGTCTGTCTCTCTATCTATGGTGATATATTATGCCCCGTCTCTGCTTATTAAGTGCCTTTATTTATCAGCTTCTCAAATTTCCAAAGGTACCTGAAAACCCCTCATATATTAAACAGACAGTGGAGAGAGACAGCCATTAGGTAAATGGAGTTTGTTTTTGTTGGTGCACTAATACAATGGAAAGAAATTCTTTGGTAGTTTCACACTTTTTTAATCTTGTCCAGTTGTGTACTGTGTTTTCTTTGTGCAAATATGCTTTGATTTTTTTTTTAATTCTTTTTTTTAATGCAAATGTTGACACAAAGAATAGCAAAATCACATTCCACTCTTGTCTTTCATGCAGCGGGTCTACTACCTCTCCCTGGAGTTTTACATGGGCCGCACTCTGCAGAACACCATGGTCAATTTGGCCTTGGAGAATGCCTGTGATGAAGCCACATACCAGGTGAGGCAAAGGATCATGGGAAAAAGGCCTAGCAAAGATAGACCTCTCCCAGGAGGTTGTTGCTTCAAATGAGTCTTGTAATGTTTATATTTTCCTTACTGGAAATAATATTCCAGTACGGAGGAAAGAAAACACACGAGTAAAAAAGTGCCTCGAACCATAATCCAGACCTTAAAGTATACTGTAGTACAAAAGTGGAAAACCTACAATACTACACAGCTGTACACAAGTAGTTACTTTCCACTGAAATTGTAGACACAAGCAGCTTCGATGCGAACGTCTTTCTTTATTCACTTTATTCACAAAGTGTACTCTGTTCTCTTTAAAATATTGATTTGTATTCGATTCTTCATACTTACTTCCACGTTGAGAGTCAAGTGTGGTCTGTAAAAGAAAAAACAAAAAAAAGTAGAAGAAACAACGGAGAGTGAATAATCGAAGCTGCTTGTGTCGCTTTGCTGTTATTTCTTTTACATACTTTATACACCTGCTACGTGAGCACAAGATACAGGAGCCTGGCCGGTTATGCAGGCATAGCTCCACCCAGATAAGGGCAATGTGGTCAAATAAGCTTCATATTTTTGTATATATATTCAGAGTTTCTGTATATATATTCAAACTTTCTGTATATATATTCAAACTTGCTGTATATATAATCAGACTTTCAGTATATATATTCAAGGTATTCAAGGATTAATTTCCGTCATGTCATATATATATATATATATATATAT